GTTGAGTATCAGATTGTTCCATCTTGTTTCCCTTTGGGGTTGCTGTAGGTGATCTGGAACTCTGTTTTTGAGGCTTGTTTACATGTCTTCTCATTTCCACGGGGCCGGGGTGGGGGGTGCCTCTGGCACCCACGCAGCTCACCTTCTCTGCCCTAGGAGCGTGGAATGGTGACAAGGGGGCCTCCTCCCAGGCACTGGGACTGGCTCACCTTCTCTCTATCTACTACTATTTAAAATGTCCAGACTCTTCTATCCAACAAACCTCATAGCAAGATACCCACACAGGAAAAATTTGTAAAAAAGGGAAGAAGGTAGGAAAGGGCAGAAATGGGGAGGGAAGGAAGGAGAACATGTTAATTTACAGCCATGTTTATTTGTCTTTAAGTGAATTTAAACACCTAAAATACCTTGTTTTGTACAAGAATCATGAAAGTTAAAAGAATTAACCAAAACTTACTTCAAAAAGAAAGAGAATAGAGTCCAGCTCCTCCCTTTGTGATTTATTATTCCCTGGAATGTTAAAAAAATGAGTTATAACATTTAAACAGTAGGATATTATAAATTATGCTAAAAGGCATCTTATAACATTTACGCCTCATACATACATCCACTTACTCAGAAACACCTAGAGGCAGCATGGGGCACAACTAAGAGTACAGACAAACAGGCCCAGCCAGCTAGGTGCATATGCAACAGAGCTGTGCAAAAACAGCTTCCATGTTCTCAAGACATGGTCAGCCCTCCACAGGTAATCTCATTTCTTGGCTAGTTACTTACCTCCTCAAACTATGGTAGAACACCCAGCAAAAACAAGGACAAGAGTTCTGGGTTGGTAATACAAACAGACAAAGAACAAGTAATATCTACAAAAAGCAGTCACTGGCCAACTGCATACCATCATCATCACCACCAACTACAACATTTCTAGCAGCAGCTACCAATTACTGTCTACTAGGCATTCTGCTAAATGTATGGCTTACATCATCTAATTTAGGAATCAACAAACTTCTCCTGTACAGGGGCAGATAGTAAATATTTTAGGCATGCAGCCTGTCTTAGAACCACTCAACTATGTCATTACAGTCCAGAAGCAGCTACAGGCAATACACAGATGAATCACTGTGTCCGTGAAACTTTACAAAACAGGGAGCAAGCTGTTAAGTTGCAGGCACCTGATCTAACTGAATGCCCACAGCTCTACAAAGTAGGTTTCATTCATTCACTGAGAAAACACTGAAGAATGTCTGTATTTCAGGGAGTCTTCTAGGCCCTGAGGATATAGGAATGAACAAAAGAGACAACAATCCCTGCCCTGAGGAAGATTCCATTGTGGCAGAATGAGATTTTGTATAAATTACTAAGTAAGCAAAACCAAGGGCAAAAGCAGATGAGGAAGCCAAAAACAGCTGGTGTGCAATTCTAACTAGGGAAGTCAGGGACACCTTGCTGGTAAGGTAGCAAGTGAGCAAAGATCTAAAAGAGACAGGAAGCAGGCCATATGGAAACTAGGGGTCAGGAAGCAGACTTGAGGGAAATGCTCCAGGCACAGAGACTGGAGGGTACCAAGCCCCAGTAGCTGAGCAAGCTTGCAGGACCAGGAAATAAGCAGAAGCCCTTGAGGCTGGAGTGAAGGGCGAGATTGCAGCAGAAGAGTAGAATGTAGGTGGAGCAATAGAAGAGCCGAAGTCCCTGTAAGGACTTTGAGAATGTGAAGTTACTTAGGATTTAGTAGTAGAAATTCAACTAACAGTTTTAAAGCATGGCTCCAGTTACTCTTCTGAAAAGAGACTTGGGCTGGGGGAGGGTGCAAGTATGGAAGAGAGGGGAAGGCTCTTCCTGTGGCCACTAAGGCAGTCCAGGGGAGAAGCAGGGGAGCCCCAGTGTGGTCAGTGTAGACAAAGAGAGGACCCAATGGCTCTGGATGCATTGTGAAGAGAAAGCCAATATTCCAAGGTCTGAGGCTGAATAACTGGAAGGTTGGAGTTATTACAAAATGATTCATTACTCCTAGCACACATCTTATTCTTTTGGGGGGGGGGTACACTTTTTTCCCTATATCCAATCAAATGAAGATTACATTAACGGCAAGAAATTTCAAAAGCTGCACCCTGTTTCATGGTATATTCATTGTCTTCCTTCTCCCATTAAGAGATGTTTCTTTCTCTATCCCTTGAATACAGGATGCCCTGTGACTTGCTGGCCCCTGTGACATCAGCAAATGTGCACTGCTCTTCCACCTGTACCACCTCCTGGAAGAGAAGTGGGGCTGAAGGTTGACCAATGATATGATCAGTCACATCTGTGTCATAAGCCTCCATAAAAACTCAAAAGGATGGGGCTGGGGTCTTTCAGGGCTGTGAATAGGAATATATCCATGTCCCTGGAGGGTGACACACCCCAATTTTGGGGGAGGAGGCACCTGTGCTCTGGACCTTTCCAGCTCTCACCTAGTATCTCTTTACCTAGCTGTTCCTTTGCATCCTTTAAATATCCACTGTAATACAGGGGTAAACATTTTGTAATAGATGGGCAAATAAACAACCTGCTCCAGCAAATTAATCAAACCAAGGAGGGGGTCGAAGGAACCCCTCTTTATAGTCCTTAGGTTACAGGCACATATGACAACCCAGAGCTTGTGGAGGGGGATCTGAAGTGGGGGGAGCCTTATGGCAATAACCCTGAACCTACAAGGTCTGACACTACACCCAGGTATCCATGTCAGAACCGAACTGAGTTAGTGCGCACCCAGCTAGTATCCACTGGAGAATCTGCTGTCAGAATGTGGGCTGAGTGGTGTGAGAAAGGAAGAAAACACTTTGGTTCATTTTTCCTAACTAAAATAATTTCCCAAACAGATAACATGAAAACAAAAGATGAATATGGCACTGGCAGCTAGCACTTAACTGTCCTGAAATCCTAGGATTCCTGTTAACCTGTTCACTACTGATAGGAAGCCAGCCCAGAGAGAGGTTAAGTAACCTGCCCCAGGAGAAACAGTGCAATTGGTGGGGTTGCTCTGGCTCCCCTACCACCCAAATATCCAGCAACATCTGTACTGTGACATGGTCAGTTTGCTTTTCAAAGAATATTTTATATATGGGCACCACCATGAACATACATAAACAGAATACATTAATAATACATAGAGAAGGAAAGTGAAGGAGCTCTTTCATGGTGGCTGCCTTTGCAAAATAGGAATGGAGTTCTGGGCAGAGCAAATATTTCAGTTCTCCGCTCCTTTAACACAGTCTTGAGGGCTTGAACCACCAGTGGGATATGCATGACTGCCCCATCAGGCAGCCTACTCCACCCATGGGACTGTTCCATGCCACCTGATGGGACAGACATGCATGTACCACCAGTGGTCCAAATCCACCCAGCAGTGAGACATACAAATTATGGCCCTGTCCTGAATGTATTCATGGAACTTGAACTTTTTAATAGTATGCACTAATTCCTTTTCTCTTTCTTTTTAAGTAAATCATTCCTCTAAAACTTATGCCTTTTGCAGTCTCCTATTTTCCCATTAGCCATTTGTTATTCAGTTAACACTTGCACAATGAAAGCTCAAGGGAAACAAGCCACACAGTCCACTGCAACGTCAGCTTTGCTAAAGGCCTGTGAGAAAGCAGGCTAAAAAATGCAGCATTTGTGATTCATGATGCACATAACTTTTAAAATGGCCCGAATGTTTTTTTAAAAATTATAGAAATGCTTACCTTTTAATTTTAAACTATTTTCCAGTGTTATAAAATTTTCATAGAAGATGAAATATATCTGAGAATAGTGGGTCTCAAAAAATGGCTTAAGATCGCTTGCATCCACATTATCTGAAAAGAAAAAGTTTCCATTTATATAATTATCATAATTCAGAGGCAACCTTTTCAGAAATGAAAGAAAATATCACCTTGCAAGATAAAACCAAACCAAACCATATTCCCCTTTGTTTGCTTTCACTAAGAGTTCTGAACTGCACCTGGGATACCACACATGGGCCCAAACAGGAGGCACAGCACCCACAGACCAGCCAGGAGGCAGAGGAGAAGAGCACTGGGGAGGCCAGGGGGTCATGGAGGAGTTAATTCAGACAGGAGCCTTGCAGAGCGAAGGGTCTGTCACCCTGGAAAGCACCTGGCCTGCAGATGTCTTCCATGGACCAGTCTCTCCAACACAACTTCCTGGGTACAAAAACAGACACCAGCTCAAGTGGCCACACATGCTCCCCACCACACGTACCCAGCCACGATCATCTGGGCCCATGTGGCTTCTTCCCTCCAGCTTTAGGTGACTGTCCCTGTTCCTGCTGGAACACCAGAGGCCCTGTCATGGGTTACTAAAGTTGTCCCTGTTGAACCAGACAGTTTTGCTGAGACCAGGGACTGCAAGGAGACTGGCTGGTAGTTCAGGGGAACTTGGGCCAGCACCAATGCCACTAGGTGAACAGCCACACAGCTACTTCTTCCCAAGCCCTGGTCAGCTCAGGCAAACCTCACAACTCCAGGGATCAGGGTAGCTTCCACTGTCAATGTACTTTTGTACATTTTCTCAGCTAATACAGTTGGCTGGGCCCCATTTATAGGGTTCTAATGAAGAATCAATGCTTTGGAAAAATATACTAGTATAGGAGGAAAACTGAAAATAGCTTCCTTGGGCTGGGGATTTAGCTCAGTGGTGCCGCCACCTGCCTGCCTCACAAAAAGTCCTGAGTTCAATCCCTGGTACAAAAAAAAAAATAGCTTCCTTAAAATTCTAAAAGGGTTACTCAAAAAAATTTGTTGCTATTTAATCTATAACAAAATGATATAAACTGATTTTGTAGTTCTAAAACAGTGAAATAGGTGAGTAATGCTTACTATGTTCAAATTACCCATTACTATGTTCATTACTATGTTCAAATTACTATACCCATTACTATGTTCAAATTCTATAATACAGATGGATCGAAAGCATCATTTTCCTTTGGTTATCACAGAAGGGCCTATCATGCAATAATCTGCCTAGCTCTGTGAAATAATGAAATTAACAGAAGTTATTTAAAACATCATTATGAGCCACCAATTTCACATTATATTTACTGTACCAAAATAAAACTGACCACAGAGCTGCAGAAAATCCTAATAACCAACAAATCTACCTGTGTAAAAGGAGGTAACAATGAATCTAGCATCATCAACAGCACAAATATCAATTCTTACATCCTATACCTTCTTGCCAAGGAATCCTTGGGGGCCTTATGCAGACTCTGCCAGTTCCAAGAGTTTTGTACGTTTAACTCCAATGCCAATTGCTATTCTACCTTCCACTAATTGTTGTCTCTGCCTGAAACACACCATGACCAGCCAGCTCCTACCCACCCACTCTAAGGCCTCCCCTCAGTGCCCCCAAGACACTCAAAATCCAGCCACTAAACAACTATACATCGAGAACACTGAGGAGCTGCCCTGTAGACTGAGATGCTCTGGAAAGCCAAGAGTCCAGGTGACAGTCACCTTCCCGAAGCCACCCGACGCCTTCTCGAGGGTGAGGCACAGACGGCTCTGAGCTGAAAACACTCACTGGCTGGAGGTATGGCTGCAGTGTGCTGCAGGCCCTGGGTCTGGTCCCCAGCACCTCACAAACATTCAAGGCAACACCACATAGCCATGGAGCAGGTCAGCACAGAAGCATGCTCCATTTATCTATAAGTCTGAGGACTCCCTATGGTTCTGGGCCCTCACACCACTCCCCTACAGCACTAAGCTGACTGGAACATCCCGTTTATTCATGTCCTTCCTCCTGCTTGGCACCCTCACCAGAGAATAAACTGCAGGAGGGCAGCAGCCCAGTCTGCTTCAGTCATGCCAGCATCTCCAGCTCAGGTACAGGCTTTGGTACCTTGAAAGCACTCAACATCTTTGTGTTAAACAAAGAAAGAGAATAAATGCCAGTGTTTCATATCACTACTTCAGAATCCAGAATCACTTGTTGGTTGTCTGCTTCTCCAAAAACTCTTCAGAAGAATATTTACAAGTTAAGCATAAGTCTTGGGGAAGGCAACCACAGGCAATGGAATTTAGCACCTACAAAATGGAACCCAAGAAAGTATCAAGAGCCTGATTTTTAGCAAAGCTAACTTCGAAAAACATAGAGAGAAGGCTTTGCTGGGGTGGGGGACTATAACCACAAATTTCCTTTACAGACACTCTTGGCCCATTCATTCAACATTTCTTGAGCTCCCAGCTGTGCCAATAAGCACTGTGCCAAGTGCTAAGAAATACTAAGCAAAGAAGACTTAAGGCTATCAAGGGTGCACCAGGGAACAGACAAGCATTGCTAAGGCCATGTGGCTGAGCACATGCTAGCTCAAGGCAGGGAAGGGACAGCCATGCAGGGAGGCAAGAATATAAGGCCACACATCTGGGTTGCTTTATCTCACATGGGTCAGGTGAGCTCAAGAGAAAGAATTCCCAGGGTCAGGATCTCGGGATCTGCCCTTGGGACACAACCAGCTGGCCTGGGCTTCTGAGCCAAACCCAGAGCCACACTAAGGGCTCGGAGGCAAATGGGAACAAATCAACACCAGAGATTGGGTCAAGAATTGAAGCTAAATAAATCATTCCCTTGGGGATGAGGACAGCCAGAGGAACAGGAGCAAGAGGGAGAAGCCCCAGAAAGAAACCAGAGGAAAGAAGGGCAGGGAGGCAGTAGGCAGGCAAGTTCCCACAGCCTTGGGTAGCCGGGGAGAGGACATGTCCAGGCTGTCCCTGGGTTCTCAGTATCTGGATGGGATGCCAGTATGTTGCCCTAGAACCACTACAAAACTCGAAGCACATCACATTAACCACAGGGAAGCAAGCAGTTGATGCCTAGCACTGGGAGTCATTTCCACTTTTTTTCTTCAGTGCTGGGACTTGAACCCAGGGCCTTCACACTGAGCAGTACCCCAGCCTTTTTTGTTTTGAATTTTGAGACAGGGTCTAAGTCACTGAGATGCCCAGGCTGGGCCTGAACTTATGATCCTCCTGCCTCAACCTCCCAGAGTGGTGGGACTATGGGCCACCATGCCCAGCTTCATTCCCAATTGTTTTGTTTTGTTTTAAGACATGGCCTTGCTATGTAGTTCAGGCCAGTCTCGAACTCACTATGTAGCCCAGGCTGGCCTCAAACTCACAGCAATCTTCCTGCCTCAGCCTCCCAAGTGCTGGGATTACAGGCATGTGCCACCATGCCTGGTTCATTCCCAAAATTTTAAAGAAATGTTTAATTATTCATTCTCTTTCACCACCAACCAACAGCCTGTAAACTTTTTATTATTTTCCCATTGTATCTAAATATAATGTTCTCTATACCACATCAAAACCACCCTCTCCCACCCCTTTGTCCACTAACCCTCTCAGTGACAATTATTTCCCCACATCTACCTGAAAAGCAGCAACAAAGGGTGAGGTCAAAACCTTTAGGACAGACTGTCTGGGTCCCAGTGCAGAAGCCACAGGGTAATGGACAAGTTAGTGAAGCAGTCTAGTCTTCGACTTCCTCTGGACAACAGAGCTAACAATGGTTCCTCCATCACAGGGCTGCTGGGATGACAAAATGAGCACATGCACGGTGATGCACCAGGTAAATGTTGTTTTCTGTAATTACTTAGCTCCTGGCAAAAAACATCTCACCAGGTAGGAATAACAGCCTCATCTACCTATGAAACTAAAAAATCTGATGACTCAGAAATTCATATACTTAATGAGACTGTCCTGCATTAAATTGCACTTAATCCCAATACAACAGCAAACACTGCCAACGAACATAGCCACGAAACCAGTGAGATTATTGCTTTATCTCCTTCCACATATAATCCCTTTCAATAGCAATTCTGCTGCTTTTCAGTTAGAAAGCTCCTAACACAGCCTCATAAAAACCTGCTTCAGCAGGCCTCAGGCCCTCAGAAAGTAGGAAGGTCTTTATCACACTCAGGGCCCTCTTGGGATGCTGTCAAGAGAAAGAAGATCTTGTGTTCAGCTCCTCCTACCTGGGAAGGAGTGGCCCCCCAGCACCCTATCCCTCTATCCTGCCCCAGAGCTAAGAGCCACCCCAACCCCAAACACATACAGCCAAAGTGGGTGTCACTTACTATTTCAATCAAATTCTCTGATGATCAAAATCACAAGCTGATAACAGGAAAAGGGATCAGTGAAGAATTAAAGGCAGATGTGTCAACTTAATAAAATAGTCACTTAAAAACACTTAGAAAAAGGAGAGGCTGGGGATGTAGCTCAGCAGCACAGCCCCTGCCTAGCAAGCACAAGGTTCAATCCCCTGTACCAAAAAAAAAAGAAAAAGAAAAAGGAAAATAATAGCGCGGTAAACTAACCAGACAAAAAGTGTTATCAAGAATGAAAATCATTACACTACCATGGTACCAATGAATTACAAATTCGTTTTGTAATGTTTTAAAAATGTGAATTTTATAAATCAAATAAAAAACTGAATTTTTTTTTAAAAGAATGAAAATCATTAGCAATGCATCATTACTTAGGGGGTGGCATGATTTTGATATCATGTTTAAGCAACTGCCTAGGCCCCTGCCCTTTTTTGCTCTTACGATGGTTTATAAAAATGCCATGCATTACTCCTTCCTCTGACCACACCTCTAAATGGTGCCCACCCACACTGGCTCAGGACAGAGCTAACAGGCTCTGATTGAAAGTTCTTAGAAACAAGATACACTTTCTTAGAAACAAGGTCCCATAGCTGCTGGTCCAAGGGAAATAAGGAAACACAAGAACAGAGCTAGACCCCATCCAAGAGTCGGGAGCCAACCCAGGTGCCTGCAGCCAGAAGCAGGGCCGCCCCA